ACACACACCACACACGTCACATACATGCTCACACCACATACATACACACACTGACACACATACCACACACCCATACACACCACACACATACGCACACAAACACACACACATCACACATACACACACCACAGACACACACATAAACGCATACACACACACCACATAAACACACACACTGACACACACACCACACAGACATACACACACCACACACACAGTCACACGCACATCACATACACCATACAACAGACACTCTCACACACTCACACATATACACACACCACTGATACGCAATACAACACACCTTCATACACACACTCACACATATACATACACTAACACATCATACAATACACTCATAAACATACACACCACACACACACAGACACACCCACCCACCACACACACAGACACACCCTACAACACACTCACACACACTACACATACACAGATTCACACACACAGACACACTACACATATACACACACCATACAGCACACACACACAGACTCACACACACCCCCCCCACACCTATGCATACATCACTCACACACACACACACACACTGTTACACGCTCACATACACACAGCAGGAACCCCCCTGCAGGGAGACCAGCCTCCACACCTAGGACATAAACAGGCCCGCTCTCCAGTCCCTGGTGTGACTTAAACCCCAACCCCTGAATGCTTGGCTTGATGGGATGAACATGCTTTTCAGCAAAAAATACTCATTTGTGCATCAGCCGTCCGCGGCTACCTGGTAGACACCTGGGTATTTGGAATAAATCATGAATTCCCATTGCTTTAGGTACACTGGGCAAGCCAACACCCCCTGTTGCACTGGGTATTCTATTTTTACAGCAAGTGCATACAGATGATTACCATACTTTCTATTTTGGAGGGGCTGACATGACCCATGAGCTCAACTGCCTCGTCCCACCCTCCGTAAAAGGACGCTGCACCTCCTTAACTAAGAGTGTTTGCAGGGGCCAAGCCACACGCACCTTACCCAGGAGACAGCAGCTGAGGGTAGGGGGATCCACCACCAAGATCTGCTGGTATTTCAAACACCACCAGGGTCACCCATGGTGGGCAGGTTTCAGTGGAGCTTCCATACTCAGACAGACTAGGAAGAAAGGCCTGGAGATCTACTACTGAAAATCAGCCAATGACAACCCTATGGATCCCAACAGAACATTTGCCGATATACTGCTGGAAGCTATGCCACCAGTATTTAAAATACCAGCAATGTCACTCACGATGGACAGGTTTCAGACTAAGACAGACGAGGAAGAAAGGCCTGGTGATCTACTTCTGAAAATCAGCCAATGAAAACCTCATGGATCACAACTGAATACTGTCTGATATAGTGCCGGAAAATGAGCCCTCAGGATGGAAGTCACTCAAAATACTCAGTGGCCGCAACAATGGACGGGAGCAGACCAACAATCGTGCAGACAGTGCAGGGCCGGGCAGTGTTTCGTTCTGTTGTACGTGGGGTCGCCGTGAGTCGGAGCCAATTCCACGGCAGTTAAGAACAACAGCATACAGTGAGCACCTACTGTTTACAGAGTGCTTCTCTATATTGTGATCCACTCCCCAAAATCAGCCAGTGAAATCCTGGGGATCACAACAGAACACTGTCCGATAGCGTGCTGGAAGATGAGCCCTATTTGAAATAGACAGATAAAGAGAAACCAAAGATTATTAGCAGTTACCAGCGGGGAAGGGAGTGAGAGAAGGGGAACTTTGCTTAGAAGGTCCTGAGTGTACATTAACGGAGGAGGAACACCTCAGAAAAGGAGGGTGAGAACGGCTGCAGAACTTGAAAAATGTCATCAGTGTCACTGAATTGTACACACAGACATGGCTGAACTGGCCTAAGTTTTGTTGCAGAGTTCCACCAGACACACACAAAAAGTGTAGAAAAAAAAAGTCAAAATAAGCGTGTTATTTCATAACCCACACACGGTAAGGCATTCCAATCTCAGGGCCCATAATCTTGACGGGAGCGCAGCCACATCTGTCCTTTGACATCTGGTCTCTGGCTGCTTGCAGCGAGGACAGAGCTGAGTCACTGGGGCCCCCGGAGCCAGAAATACCTACTACCTGGGTCTTCCTAAAAAAAGCCCGCTGGCTCCCCAGGCTTCTGAAATCCCTGTCTCTCTCCCTCTCGTCCCAAGGCAAAGCGACTCCTCCAAACAGCCGCCAGGACTGAGTGCTGCTGGAAGGCCTGAAACCTGACATAGCCCAAAGCAACTGAGGAAAAGCAGCAGCTTAGAAAGTAAACACAACCCGGGCCATATTGCTGACTTGCGGCCGTGCTTGTTGAGGATCACGTTAGAATCGCAGTGCTCGGCTAACAAGGCACGGGTTTGACAGGTTTTCACATAATCTAATTCCTCCCTGAAGCCCACCGTTAAATAGCTCCCAGATCATGCAGAAAGGACCCCGGCTCTGAGACGTGGACAGGGCACGGGGATTTATTTGCACATCTGAAATCCTGTGCTCAGGAACAAGATTTCGTACTGAAAGGAGATACTTGAGGGGGAAGAAGTCCAAGCCACAGCCACAAGGACAGCCTGAGGCAAAGTCAGCTGCCCTTCTGGGCTTCCTCTCCCCCACCTCCTTCCTTCTACATGGCCCTCCTCAGCCAGTCACACTTCACCAGTGGGAATTCAGCGCAGCTGAACCAGCCCCACGTCCTCTTCTTTGCTATTTGCTCCTCTGTTAAAAACAGACACTTAAATGCTCTCTCATCCTCCAACAGTCCCCTGGGTGGTGCTGACGGTGAACGCTTCACCAAAATGCTGCAGGTTCGAGTTCACCCAGAGGCACCTCGGAAGAAAGGCCTGGCAATCTACCCGTGAAAAATCAGCCACTGAAAACCCTGTGGAGCCCAGCTGTACTCTGACACACGTGGGGGCGCCATGAGTTGGGGCTGACTTGATGGCAACTGGGTTTTAGATTTTAACACAGGAAAAAACAGACTCTTGTATTCCCTCATTCAAAGTCAGTAAAACCAGTTCAAATCCCTCAGCCTCTCTGTCCTGTAGGGTTGCTATGAGTAGGAATCGACTTGATGGCAATGGGTTTTTGTTTTTGTTTATTGGTTTAATGGGGATTAAGCCTCTCTGGGTAGTACAAATGGTTAATGCGTGCTTGGCTGCTTACTGAAAGTTTAGAGGTTCAAAAAATTAGCCCCTGAAAACCATATGGAGCACAGTCTACTCTGACGCACATGGGGGCACCATGAGTCACAAGCATCTCAATGGCAACTGGTTTTCACAGGTTATTCTTCCTCAACTGACTCTGCTTGTCCTTTCTAATCTGCTAAGAAAACAGTTAAAACGAGGCACTTCTGTCAGGGGTTGGGGAAGCTGAGAATTCTGACTTGACATCAAGAACTAAGAGGAGAACAACAATTCTGAGAACCAAGAGTCCCGTGCAGACCCACAAAAGAGAACTATGTGCTGGAGACGCGGGTTTATGTGAGTTCTCAGCGGCTGTGATAGCACGTCATCTGAAAAATTTATTACTATTTTCCACTTCATTGAAAATGAAAACGGTTGCGGAAACGCTTGGTTGTAATGACTGAAAACTGGCCTCTTTAAACTCAAAAATGCATGTACGAAAAAGAAACATTTTAATTAGCCCCCAGGGAGAGGGAATGGAGCAAACCCCCGCACAAGTGAAAGGCGGGTCACAGTTTGCCTGACCTCCCTGTAGCTCTGTCTGTATTTCCTTAAGGGGAGGAAGGAGGGAGGAGGGAAGAAAAGGATGGATGGCAGGAAGGATGGATGGATGGAAAAGTGGGAAAGTGA